GGCGCGTCACACGCAAGCCAGAAGATAATACACAGCCATGTTTTCACTGCCGCTGAAATTTTATAAGCCACGGCGCGACAATTTTTTTCGTTCGCCGAGCACTTCGCTGGAGTTTTGCAACGCTTAAAATCTGAGCTTAAACAGAGTACACAGTTTAAGGGGAAGTTTTATCAATTTAATTTTTTACTTCGAAAGTACGGTATAGGGGAGAGCTTATAACTTTAGCGAATCTTAGCAACTCGACCACATAATTATAGCGAAGTTTGATTATTTTAATAATAGTTTAACGAAAATATATTGTCAATGTGTTTACAATTTATTTTAATTACGGCCTCCCGTTTCGGATGCTTTGGGGCAGCCATGGTCACTGGGAGACTGAAGATGGAGGGTATCCCTAATGTCAAAGTCAAATCTGCTACGGGGCTATCTGTTTTCTTAGTCTGTTCTTAATAGAACTTGTAACTTTTTTGGAACCGTTTTAAATGCAAAACTTAAGCCGATTATAATCTGAAAAATTTTAAGACTTAAACCGGCATCCTCAACGTTTCGTGATGTTGCTCTCAGATGTGAGTTACCGAGTCGATCAATTTTTAATTTTTTTATTTTACTATCATCATGTGAAAAATATTAAAGTTTTCAAATATATTTAACCATCGAAATCTTAATTTTTTTTTTAAAGTCTAGTAATGTTAAATGCCTTAGAGATACAGATAATAATGTTTTCTTAGTCTTAATAATTGGCACGTCGATAAATAGGACTTGGCAGCTTGGCCTTAACGCGAAAGGACGTAAACCGTGCATAATTAATATCTTCTAGCGGACACACACTGCATATTCATGAATACGCCTCAGCATAAAACTAGATTATTAGACCGCTTTCAACTGTTTCTAGTTTTTTTCTCTATCTCTATTATTGAGAGGAGAAAAAGAAGGAGATACGGTGTATTTTTATGAGCTTTGCGATGGCATTTTGTGCACAACTAACAATATACAACATTAGCTGTGTCAGCGACTTCGTCCGCGTACATTAATTATTTTGGGCCTCATCTTTAAAAATTTAAAATTTTAACCACGAATATATGAAACATTTTCGTTAGTTGTTTTATTTAAAATTTTTAAGCAAGAACTAAAACAAAGAGTAAAAGAAATATTTAAAAAATACATTTTATTGTTAATTAATCGATTATTTATGAAATCGATGACTGGACCACCGTTCTATCATATATGATACGAGATATAGTAGGCTGGTCTGTTTTTTGTAATGAAAAAAAGCCAGACAAATCTCCCGAAATCGTCGAATACATATTCAGCAGCGTAATCCTAAAGTGGCTGTGCTTTTTGTGAGCAGCAATTTGCAGGTGTATTGTGCAATTTACGATGTGCTGAGACTAGTTAAAATTTTTGGCCTTTTTAATCTGTGGTACCCCCTTCCAATGTATTGCATCTATTCTCTTTCTGTAATATATACATATAGATTCTTTTTTTAAGTATATCCGAGTGTGAAAATATGTTTTCAGTTACTATACGAATATGACACAGACGAGACTCGAACTGGAAATGGTTCGTATAATTTATTCGTTCTAAATTTAAAATAACTTTGTTAGATATCTTATCTATCCTATATTATCACACGTATAAATTGTACCATGTCTAAACTTCAAAATAATTATATATACATATATTAAATAATGTATTTTTGTATATGTAACTGAATTAAAACGATTATAAATTAAAAATCACGCACTGGGCTGGACTTAAACCGGCCGCGGCATCCACAGCGATCCGCGATTTTATAAATAGTTGAAACCCGGATGTTGTTTTACGCCAAGCTATCGAATCTGTTAAGCAAGCAATTTCCAGATTAAATTCTTCGAAACCAGGTCACAGGCAGACGGAAAAAGTTGCCTTCCGAGGCATGCCAGCGCCACTACCAATTGTTTCGCTTGAAACTCACTCTTAATTCGTAAACTCGATTCGATCGAATTAGCTTTTAACATAACGTATTAGTGGGTTATTCTCTTTATAAGAGTAAGTTTGTTTCGTGTCCCTTATATGCAAATGGATGGACACATCTCTGTGTCTTTTTATGATTTGTTAGAGACTGACACATGTTTGAGTGGAGCTCCTTATTATGTTTTCGCCGGACACCGAACCCACTGTCTCTGGCGCTTAATACTGTTCGGTAACCATTATGAACTTAGATTTTTTCAAATTGGTTTTATATATCAGAGAGATAAATAAATCTATAGAACTTATTAGTTTGGTAGCGTGTTTGATTTATCTCCGTTGCAATCTTAAAGAATATATTTTTAATACTTTCCACAATTATTTGTTTAGAAATAGCAAACTCATCTCAAATCGATTTAAGTTCTTTTAAATAATTCCGATATATTTTTTAGTCAAAAAATCAAAATCAAAAATCTTTATTGTTTCCTTATATATGGTACAGAATCGAAAGTCCCTAGTCCCCACACTAGGGCAAGCCTGTGTCATGGGTGACTAGTCTCTTCTAGATGATGGGTTACAATAAATAAAGACATCTAAGCTAACTTATGTCTACTTACGATTAGTGTCTATTTAGGTGAGTATTTGCATTATGTGTGTTAGTGTATGTATGAAGTGAGAGCGTGTTACGTGTGTTGATATAATATAGGTATGTAACAGAATACGTGTGATAGGTGGATAATGTAAGTTTACAATGCTAACGAAATACGAAATAGACTTATTATAGTTAGTTACATTATAATGTAACTAACTATAATAAGTCGGAATAAACTTATTACAATTATTTACTTAACATTACTAACGGAATAAACTTAATACAATTAGTAACTCAACATTACTAACGAAATTAACATTTTACAATTTGACAATTACAATAGCATTTTGTTATAGACAGATAAAGTGCTAAACTATGCTTATTTAGGAATATCAAGCAAAGCCTCAGCTGAAGCGTAGTCCAGGCTTGACAGTAGGTTTTTTATTATTTTGTTTATCCTATATCTTGACAGTTTGACGAACTCTGTTTTAGCCTTTTTATGAAGTTTATTGTAGAGGTAAGGTCCTCTGAAATTGAAAAATCGTTGTCCAAAACTAGTGTTTTTTTGGGTGTTGTGAATTGAGAGTGTCTTTGTGTTAATGACATTAAGTTATGTGAAGTAGAGACTTTGTGGAAACGAAGGCAAGTACTAAGAATATATAGATTTCTGACCGAAAGCAACCCTGTCTCAGTGTGCAGTTGGGTTGTAGGAAATCGGAAGGGTTTCTTAAAATGGCTCTTTGAGCACGCTCAAGTTTAAGTATGTATTTTGCGACAGTCATATCAGTAGTTTGCGTTATAACACTAAATCTGTCAGTGAACTGAAAATGAAGAGAATGTCAAATAGTAGGGCTTTCGAAGAGTAATTTATCTCCCGTCAAGGCTTAAAGCTACTAAGTATGACTAGGTAGATACCGTTCTGTTATCCTTTTGGTTCAGGAAAATTCCCTTCAAAATTAACTTTTACGGCTATCGAAATTCTTTTAAACTGTCTCATATTTTAAAAATAATGGACTTGTCGAATGCTGATTAAGGTGAATTAGATCATCTGTAGTTTACGCGAGTTCACAAATGAACATGTACACTTACGTTCGCAATATTATATGTTTACAATTTCAAGCCGTTAAAGGTGTTTTATTTTCATGATCGTGTTCCTTTATAATATTTTAAATAAACGCAATGAAATATTTTGTTAGTTTTTTAAATTTTTTTTTCGGGAAAAATATCGAAAATACATAGTTTTTAAGATTGTATGTTGTATAAACATCGAATTATTTATTACTTATGATGTTTCAGAGCATTAAAAATCATAATTTCAGAAGTAAGTTATCCTAGAATATCCACGTTTTTTTAAAGATTATTATATACAAATAGTAATATTGGATTTTAGCAATAAATATAATTTAATACATTGCTTTATTAAATAATTTAAAACTGGATAATTATGAGTAAACGTCACATATAAGTAGCTGAGTAAATAAAAATAACTTTTAGTACATATACGACCATAAATAAAATAAAATATCAAAAACTTTAGCAACACAAAACCTCATTTCTGTATGAGTATCAATTTCAACGTACAATTCACCATTCACCATTTGACAACGGGACTTCACTGGCTTATCATACTAGGGGAAAGGTTATAACTTTTAACCGATCAATGAGATACGTATTCTAGATCAGGCCTATTAATTAATTATATTAATTAAAATTATTGCAAAGACGGGGCCGTTAGTGCAATAGTAGCAACGTATAATAATAATCAACAGAATGTGAGTTCGATCCCTACCGGGTCTAACATTTTTTTTAACCATTTATATTTTTTATGAAATATGGACTTCGTCTGTAAATCGGATTATAATGAATGTTATGAATATCGATATTCTGTCCAGGTCACGAACAACCGTCAAGTTGCATCGCGTTTCGGCTTCAGCCTTTGGATTTCCGAATATCCAAAGCCAAAATAATTCCGCGCTGGGGTAATTAGCCTACCATTAAGTGAACACTAAGCTGGTCTCTGCTCCTCTATCATAAAAAAAATGCATAAATTTACCAATGAATAAGTAGTTTAAAATTAGGATTAAAATATATCTTTTCCCAGGTGAGACCTAAACCTGGCACAGACGGCCGCGGTGTTTTTTTTATTGCCAACTGACCTAGAGGTTCGACGCTTGCGTTTAGAACATTCTAACATTTGTATGTACCATAAGCGATTACTTAGAAAGAAACAATTTTTAATGCGTTTTTTTATGAATTTAATGGTGTAATTTAGGCCCGCATTATGATATTTACATAACAATTAAATGTAAATGTATACACACAGATAAGATGAAGCTAAGTGCGCAAGTCTGTTTTGTAGCTAACTTCCAGTTCTATATATCAATGAAGGGGAATACCTCAAGCCATGTATATAAAATGATAGCTCATTGTATTTCTTTATCACTTCAGTGTCACTTGCAAAATGTACATCTTCGCTCTAATTCTTATCACTGGTGTTCAAAGCCGGTTTGTATCCAAACACGAAGAATGGATACCACCCCCGTTCCACAGTGATTTGGAAGACGTGTACTTTGAGAAGAATTTTGAATCTGTTAAGCCGGTGTATTTGAAGAGGATCCCGCGTCAAGTCCAGGGTGTGACCAATACAAATCCAGACGGAAGTTCTAATTGGATAATAAAGACACCAATAGCTGGTAATGATAAAAATGTATTGAGCGGTGTGGGCGGTATATATGGCGTGAAAAATGGCGATTTCAACGCAGCGTTAGCTGGGCTTTCTTTAGATAACTTGTAAGTAAAGTTATATTAAATAATATATAAATTTAAATAAAATTTCACACACAATTTAACACACAAACACGCAGGTCTTGAACCCACGACGTTTTCCAACTATAGAAACTCATTAAAAATATTCCATTAACGTCAAAAGTGTTTAAAATAGCTCCATTACCTCTTATTTATATTAGTGTTTAGTCTGGTCTTATCTGTCAAGTAAAGTAACTTTGCAACGATACAATTATTTATTCAAAGCTTCAGATATCTCTAATTGACACCTGTCTTTACCGTTCGTACCTCTTGAATTTCTATAGCGAAGTTAATATAAATCTTAATAAAAAAATATGGATTTAGAATATTCAACAAGGATTTAATAATTTTTATTTTTATGATAGATATAATACATATAACAATTCTATATATATCATTGTTCTCTCTCTTCACTCTTCTCTTCACAGGTTCTGAACGTTTCGCCATCATGAGCGGATGGCATCATCAGATGTAGTTAGCACCTCGTTTGCTCGAAGAATATATTCTCGCGAAACGTCAAAACACTCTTCTAGCTTACGTCGGCCGAACAGCCCATAAATTTTATGCTGAACGAGGGTCGTGAAAACCTTACACATTTATTTATAATTTTTAACGCATTACGTTAATCTCCAGAAGTACCGAGTTCGAATGCTGGAAAGAAATAGATCAGACCCTTGATTTATAAATGTAATAAGAACTACAACAATTGATAAATGAATTTATCAAGTTAATAAAAAATAATTAACTTTCTTTACCATTGCAGGCATGGCCACAGCGCTAGCATTACCGGAAAACATATCAAAAACTTCGGAAACCAGCTGACAGCGGCTGGAAAATTAAATTTATTGCACAATGATAGACATGATTTAAGCGCACATGCTTTTGGTACGCGGACGTTCCCAAACAATCCCATGATACCAAATTTCAACACTGTGGGAGGAGGCGTGGATTACACCTTTAAGTAAGTTAATCTTTGTGTCCTGACAATAAGTAAAGAGAAAATAAGTTTCCATCTACTCTCTCAATAATATCTAAATGTGTATATTCAAATTCACGTATCGGAGATGACGCTAAAACATGGGGCCAAGAAATAAAGGTGGAACAAATAATGAAATTTTGTAATTTAAATCTTATCTTAGAACATAAAACTGAAATAAACACGAAAATCAATATTATCGTACGTTTCTCTTGTAGACATCACAGACAACAGCACTGAGATATAAATAAGGTACCAAATTCAATTGTCAGCGATAAAAATTATTTATTTAAATATATTAAAGCGTGTAGAATAAAAATAATACAAAGTGCAATAGTTTTCGAGTTATGTGAAAAATAATCTAGTTCTATTGTTAAATACTGTGTATAGTTTACGCGAGGAGTACACATTTAAATAAAACACTTTAACGGTTAGAAAGTAAAAACGCGGATAGACTGGCTGCTTTGTTGATTACAATATTAATCAATAAAACCGCCACATCACATCACGGTCTGCCCCATGCCTGTGGAAATCTTAGTCATCTATTTTGTAGCTGGGACTCTTCCTGTTCTAAAAATACACGTTCCAACGTATCCTTGGTATATGGAGTTTGGAATATCACAATTTTGTTTTTGTTACAGCAATAAAATTGGCGCTTCGCTAGGGATGTCACACACAGATCTCCTGAAACGCACGGATTACTCAGCGATGGGGAATTTGAATATTTTTCGCAACCCTACTAGCTCTTTGGACTTCAACGCCGGTGCCACGAAGTCGATATCACCGTTTTTACCAAAAAGTAATTGGCAACCGAACTTCGGGATATCCTATATTAAGTATTTTTAGTGTGATAATTGTTATCTGTATGAAATAAGAGTATTGAGTGAATAGTATTAAGTTTACTTGTTATAATGCTTTGGTGTATGAGTTTAGATATATAAAACATACTAGCTGTGCCTGCGACTTCGTCAGCGTGGATTAATGACTTAGGGTAGAATTTTTAATTATTTAGGCCATTTATTGATTTATGTAAGGGCTCATTTAAGGCAGCCAATCTATGTTGTGAGTGGTACTTTGCCCCAACACTCTCACCTCACATCACTCCTACTCTAACTTCCACTCCCACTCCTCTTCCCAAAAAGCCGAAGAAGAAAGTTTCGTTGTTATAGCTTCAAAAACCACAAATTTCCATACAAAATTTCATCCCCCTTTTCAACCCCCTATAAACCCTTATTTGGCATTAAAAGCCTATATCCTTTCTCAGGCTCTAAAATATCTGTGTACCAAATTTCATTTAAATCAGTTCAGTAGTTTCGGGGTTAAGGCCGGACAGTAAGACAGTCGTTTTCTTTCGCATTTATAATATTAGTATTGATTATGTACCTACTCTTTTCTAACAACAAGTGTTTACCTTCAATTGTTTAATTACAGTTATCTTTTTATTTTATGAAACGCAATATTTAGCGTGTAGATTGTAATATAACGTTGGAGAACCTATCTAAATAAATAAATATGTATAGATATAATGAGATGATTACAAAAATTAATTTAAAGTACGTAATTTGGATATAGCTATGTCCGTATTACTAGGTCTTCAATAAAGGTTTATATTTATGAGTTCTTTCCATTAACTTGGCCTTCGTTCCTCATACAACCGTCTCCTTTCTATGCCTGCCCATTCATCTAAATGTTATGACATGTTTTTCTGTACAGGCTGTTCGCCTATGAAATAAGCTGCCACCCGCGATCAGGCTCTCACAGTCTTAACTCCTTCAAGACCATAGTCAAACAATATTTTCTTGAAAGTCTTGATTTTGTTGACTTATATTTTTATTATGTATACAGTTGCATCTTTGTAAGATCAAAATTGAATCTTAAGTTTTTACATATTAGTGTGTTAACGTTTTCTGTTGTGTTAGTATTTGATATAATTGTAAATTACAATTTATTGCATATTCTCTCTTATTCTCATTTATTGTTATTTTGTTATCATTTTCTTTATATAGAGGTTGCCTGGAAGAAATCGCCAAAGGCGATAAGGCCGCTTTTATATATTAATAATTAATTTAGTATTACTATATTTGTATTTTATGTGTTTATAGCTATTTTGTCTGAGATTAAAATGTAATAAACTATAAAAGTAAGAGGGACTATTATTTTGTAAGGTATCTTATTATGATAGAGATGACCAGACCCTCACTTGATGCAGAAATACCTCACCCATATAACATCACACAGGATGCTGTGTCGAATCGATGTAGGCTTTGGAAATAGACATGGGATTCAAATTTTTATATCTATTATATTTACAAGCTTATTTTTAAAGATGATTTTCCTATCTAGTAGTAGATCATATAAATAAATATACGTTATTTATCGCACGTATAATTAGATTTACTTATTATACTTACTTTAGTTCTTAGAAAATAAATAATTAAAAAAAAATACCTCTTTTTCGGATGTTTGAAAACAAAAACAATTACGATACGTAAGTCTCTATCATAATTTCCCTAAGTTAGCGTAAAACAGAGCCACCATAAATACGCCGACTTTACAACAATAATAAAAGAGAGAGAGTAGCAAAACGATAATGTCCGTACTTAATGTTAAGAGAAAAACGGCGGTACTTTGAAATTTATCGCAAAATAACGATCTAGGTTGCGAACCGTGGCCTCGATTTGGTTTTATTTCAAAAAGACGGTAACACATTTATGCTGCTCGAGACAAGCTTACATTTAAGTCTAACTAGCTGCCCTAGCAAACGTTCTTTTGACATATCGACGAGTTCGTTGGTGTAATGGTAGCAATTTAGCTAATAATCGACGCGCCGTGGGTTCGATCCCCACTGGGTCCAACATTTTTAACACACTTGGACTTCGTCTGGAAATCTGGATATAAGATGAGTGGTAAGAATATCGAAATTACATACGGATCATGAACCACCGTCCACAGATGCGAGATCGGTTTCTGTCTGTGGATTCCCGAACATATATGAGGCCGCTAGAGCCAGAGTGGCCTAACTGCCATTTTTTGTGACTTGACTTATTTATATTTTTATAGTTATAAACTGTTAATCTACAAGAACACAGTGGCCGAAAATTATTAACATAATTCTTCACAGATAATACTACAAATTCATTTTCGCCTAAGTTAATTACGCATCTTTATTTTTCGCCTTATTGAATATCACGTTACTTTTTGTTATTAGGCCATTCTGGCTCCAGCAGCCTCATATAGGTCAACAGCGCATCTTGTTAAGATGCGATAGGCTGGGGTATTTCACCTACAAGTAAGTGAACAAAAACAGATCTTGTAAGTTTATAAAAAACGATAGGCATATATATAAGATGCTCCTATTGGTCGCACCGTAATTTTTTATCAACCTTAAGCCTTCTTCAATAAGTGGTCTAACCAAGACGAAATAATTGTTTACTTTGAACCCATAGTTCTTAAGATTAGCGCGCTTAAACAAACGAAGTTTTATAATATTAGCATAACAGTTTCCAGTGACATTCATTAATATAGATGTGACGAACTCTTCTAAGCTCAAACGGCTTAATATTTAGTCATCATCAAACAGCGGGAATGTTGTTATTCCAATCAAGATACTATGAAACCTCCATAATTATAAACATTTTTTCGAGCTAAAACATTATTTAAGTAGAGATTTTAAGCTCTATTTTAACGTACACTAACAGTATTTTCACCTTTCAACAAAGTTATTACATGCTTCTGAAAGGTTTGCGAGAAAACTCTTTTTAAAATCACTTGAATAAACTTATATTTAGAATATTTAAAAGACACGTCAAAAAGTTATTTAAAACTAGCGTTAAAAGACTCGAAGTTCGATTTTTATGTTACAACGATGAATTTTCAAGTCGTTATTATAGAAAATGGTTAACCGCATTGCCTAACATTAACAAGCACGAGAGGTCCTGGGTTTGAATCCAAGGGAAACAATAGATCGTTTCGGTCCAGTAGGGCACAGAAGTCTGATCAACTAATTATGTGTAAAATAAGTAGAGGAGTGAAGCGAGATCAAAAGTTTAGTAGCCGTTATTTTGATCGCTTTTGCTTTAAGTACTTTAAAATACTGTACTTCTGCGAGCCTGTTAAGCCGTCCGTGTCGGATCGGGTTATTATCTAGAGGTAGTTCGTAATATAAAATGAAAGTTTCGCGACATCGATATTATTAAACAACAATTTAAAATTAAAACCTTATAGATTGACATTGAATTGTTGTTTTTTTTTAAGTTAGTAACGGTAAAGTTTTGATTTGTTTGATTGTATTTGATTCTAACTATTAATTATTATTAATTTCCATACAAAATGTAAAATTGTACTCGCGTAAACTATTGCCACGAGTTTACGCGAGTACACACTTAAATGCTTTTAAAGGCGATATATATTAGTTGAACTTATTTGAAATTATACAATAAGTTTAACTAATGTATATCGCGGTATAAAGTGTTTTATTTAAACATTTTCAACGTTGTAAATTGATATAGGGGTCAGTAACTTTTTAATTCGTTTACATATATTAAACTTGTGTTAATTACTACACAATTTATAATTAAACTTAATGTTTAGAAAATGTATACGTACAAATCCTGAACATACAGAGATCATAGCTTAAATAATGTAATCATTATTAAATACGTAAGCTTAATTTTGCCGAGCTTTCAAAATATTCGGATAATTCAAGTATAATGAACGCGGTAATGTGGACGCCACAATTATTCGATGTGTTCCCGATAAATCTATGTTTGACTATTCGCATTATTTATGGACGATGTGAGGCTGTGGTCTCCTATCAACAGCGTAACGTGTTGCGCTTAAGTGCAAATCTTTCAAAATCAAAATATAATAACATATTAAAAAAAATGCGCGAGAGGTGCATGTATCAATAAGTTGAAAAAAATCGACGATGTGGTGTAGGACTCGGTAGCTCAATTGGTTGAGCAACAGCACGGAACGCTGACGATGCCGGTTCAAGTCCTACCCGAGTCGATAATTTTTTCAATTTATTTTCGATTTTTAAATTATATAGTGCCTTCATGTGTTCAAAAATAATAAAGTTTTCAAAAAAATAATATCATAGTTCTGACTCAAGTTGGACTTTGTAACATGTAAATATTAATGGGAAACTCTAAATGCCATTAAAAAATTAAAAAAAAACCGGTTTTGGATTTACTTTATTGATTTGCGAATGTCCAAAGTCCAAAAATAGTTCGACATCGCATTTGTTAAGACGCTATATAGGTACTTCATCTTGAATACCATCCTTTTTGTCCCCCGGTCAAAAGTATTTTGCGAAGTAACGATTGAAAATAACTAAATACGGGGCGTAAATGGTTAAACATTACATTTCCATACGACACTAAGTGATTTTGAAGCAATAATAGGAAACCGTAGCCTTAATATTATCTACTAGTTATCTATTAATGAGTTTTTGATAGGGTTGCCGTAAGCAATTCGATATTTGTTGGACGTCATTATAACAATGTTAGTTTGAAGTGAAAATCAATTAATACTGTAATTCAATATATTCGTTCTCTATCTGGTCCAATATTTACCGGATCGACAATTTTTAACCGAATATAAATAAGGATTTATTCCTAATTACTTTTGTAGATTAAGTATTCAGCTAGAGATATATTACACTATCTAAATAATGTGAGTAGTTAACGCGAGTAGTACATATTTAAGTAAATGACTTTTAAAGGTTTTACGTGAAGTATATTTTGATGCCATGCCGTCGTCGTTCCCTTTGGTCAGAGTCGAAACTTCGAGCCGTAGTTAACTAATACTTCGCGTTTTAAATCGTTAAAAGTGTTTAATTTATT